GGACACACCGTGCACAGCAGTTTGTTGTGTATGGGGCTGCAGAGCCGCAGACCAGTCAGGGTGCCTGCGCCGAAATATCCACTGCAGAAAGTGGCAACAATGGGCACACGAGCATCGGGCCTGGACCATGGTCCGAGCATTGAGGCCTGGGCTGATGAATCACACTTTCTTTTACTTCACAGGATGGCTAGGTGTGTGTGTGTCACACACCTGGGGAACACCTGGCACTATGGGAAGAAGGCAAGCCGGTGGAGGCAGTGTGATTCTTCATGGCTTCGGCATCTTTCAGCAGGATAATGCATCGTGCTACGAAACAAAAAAGACAAATTCAATCCAGTTAAGGAAGTCCAATACATGGAGGCTCTACCTGGCAACTTAAAGAATCTGTTGCTAACGTCTTGGTGCCAGATACCACAGCATATCTTCAAGGGTCCGGTGGACTCCATGACTTGATGGGTCACAGCTGCTTTGGCAGTAAAACAGCCGTCTGTTTTTGCTTTATAAAGCATTTATAAATGAAATTGAAAGTACAGTTATTTTCTCAATAGAAAAATGACACAGACAAAGCACAAAGAGATACAGAACATAAAAATATTTATTTCCAGATGCAAACAGAATACTGTAATGTAGGGTCAGAGTAATAATATGATCTCTCTATCCAGCGTGTCTTGGGTCTGCCCCGGGGCCTCCCGGTGGGACATGCCTGGAACACCTCACCCAGGAGGCGCCCAGGAGGCATCCTTGTCAGATGCTCGAACCACCTCAACTGGCTTCTTTCGATGTGGAGGAGCAGCGGCTCTACTCTGAGCTCCACCCGGATGTCCAAACCCCTCACCCTATCTGTATGGGAGACACCAGCTACGCTTTGGAGGAAGCTCATTTCCGGCGCTTGTATCCGCAGTCTCGTTTTTCCGGTCCCTACCCACTGCTCGTGACCATAGGTGAGGGTGGTGACGTAGATCGACCGGGAAATTGAGAGCTTGGCTTTTACACTCATATTTATTCAATACAGTAACAGTTTTACAGGTTAGAGATTTTAAAATTCCATGGAAATGACCACTGAAGTATTAAGTTAGTAGTAAACTAAGGAAAGGAGACTAATTAAACCAAAAATAATGAATGTTTTAGTTTGACCCCAGTCCCATCCACTAACAAAGGAGGCTTGTCTGCGTTATTTTTCTGTTGTGAAGATAGCTGAGACTTGTTTGATGAAGAGTGAAGTATTTAGCCTTTAGCACAGTATTAACCCTTTCACGCATAGCGGTCACGACAGTGGACAGCTATTCAAAGGCTGTTTTCTTGCACTTGTGTCAGTGTTGATGGCATACTTGCACATAAACCACTACATTGGACATGTGTCACTCCATACCAGTGGCGGTCCTAGCCTGTTTGGCGCCCTGGGCGAACACTCCCTCTGGCGCGCATATTAAACATATTAAGGATTGCACATTAACATAAAACTGTTGTCGGAACCACACTGAATTTCACCAGAGAATCAAACACACACATATATGAAGAGAGAGAGAGTATGCATAGTATGCAAACGGCTACCAAACAGCCATCATAATCTGTCATACAATGAGAACAGGACAAATCAACTGACAATGACTCATTAATGTGCTGAACACAGTCCAAAAGATTCAATAAGCTACATCAGTGTCTACTGTTTACTATCATAGCCAAGTGGCTAACGAATGTAAACGGAAGTTTTCGCTATCCCTACTAATTGATGTTATCTTGTTGTATCTGTTGTGGTCAGTGCCATCCTCTATGCTGTTGCATGCTGGGGCAGCAGGTCGAGGGTCACAGATACCAACAGGCTAAATTAACTGATCCAGAGGGCCAGTAATGTTGTGGGGATGGAGCTGGTTAGGGTGGTGTCTGAGAGGCAGATGTTGTCCAAGATAAAGACAATGTTGGATAACACCTCCCACCCACTCCATGACATGCTGGCTAGTCACAGGAGCACGATCAGTGAGAGACTGAGGTCACCAAAAAGCACCACTGACCGACACAGGAAGTCATTCCTGTCTGTGGTCATCTCCCTGTACAACTCCATCTAACACACTGTAAACACTGCAACAGTTTCACCCTTTTTGCACACGCTCTTTCCTGCTCTGTAATATTCTTCTCAATTTTCTTGAGCTTGAACATTTGATATTCAATTCAATTCAATTCAATT